CACTTTATTTTGAAGCTGTATGTGGATTATTCATTATTGAAAAAGTGAAGGAGCCGACACACTATTAAAATGAACTCATTGAGTCTCAGAGTAATGATGAGTGCATATAGGTTCTACTTCAACTAATCATCCTGTTATCTTCACACCAGATTTCACTGTAACAGTAGCATGGAAATACTTTAACACAACTTACATAAGGTTATTTTATAAAGTGCGCATTGTTGTGAATTTAAAGTGAATTTAAGTTGGCTATACTTTCAGGTGGACAATGTTTGCCTTAAATGTTAAATTCACTTTGAATTCTTTCTGAATTCCTGACAATTATCAATTTGTTGAATAAACCTGTGGGTTTTTTTTTATTTGTATCTACTATATGTATTATATTGTAATTATTCCACTGTCATTAATGTTTTTGCTGACCTTTTAAATAAATAATACATGGAATAATAATACGAATAGAAAATGCTACTAATAACTTATAATTTAAATTCTTGATTTTAAACTTTAAAACAACTTGCCAGTTTCAGTCCTGTCACACATATTCACTCACCAATAAAGAAAACACCGTGGTGATAAACGAGACTACCAATCCCTCATAATGTCTCAAAGAAACAAATAAATATCTGTGCACACATAGACTCGTATGTGTAAGAAATACTTCTATTTCATACACAATGCTGCCTGTTTTACTCCAAAAAAGCCTGCAATTTTGGATACAGCCAGGGCCAGATTAACAGCCGAGTGGGCCTGGTGCTAAAAATTATGAAGGGCCTTATTAAAGAATCATAGCGACCAAAAACACTAAAACACTCCGAAGTATCATGTATCTGATGGAGATGGTGCTGGAGAGAAAGAAAACAGCAACTATAAGAAAACACATACCCTATGCTAATCTCCCTCTAATTTATGTTTTCATCTTTCAAGTAAATCCATAAAACCTAACAGCAGTGTCCAGTCAAGCAGGAAGTCAATGGGCACGGTAAAAGGATGTGCCACTGACACAAATCACATAACCTGCCAAAAGGGTCGAACATGCCCAAAAAAAGGATGCCTACCCAAAGAATTATAAGGCCAGCCTGGCATGAATGCATGTCAGGCTGCCTGCCAATCATGCAGCTGGCCAACTAAGGGCATACTATGCAGACAGCACCCTGAGCTTGGCATAAATGCATCTAATGATGCGCTTGCTCAACGCTTTCTAAGGACTGTCCCCTAGCACTCGCTGGTCCACTTGTCTCCTTACCTTCTTACTAGCAGGCAGAAGCTCCTGGTATATAGTCTGGGACAGAAAAAAGCTGTATGTAGTGAGTGTAGAAGAAAGGGAACATGCCACAGTGTTAGAGAGACCAAAGTCAACATTACCTTAAAGGATCACTATAAGGTCAGGAACACAAACATGAATTCCTGTCCCTATAGTGCCCCCCCACCCCCCCCGGGCCCCTCATGCCTCCATAAATATAGTAAAAATCTTACTGTATTCAAGCCTGAAGCTGTAACTCTGCATGCTGTTAGACTCAGAAAAACAAGCAGTCTGCTGACATCATTAGAAGTGGTGGCCTGATCCAATCACAGTTCTTCTCCATAGGATTGGCTGAGACTGACAAAACGGCAAATCAGGGACAGAGTCAACATGATTCAAACACAGCCCTGGCCAATCAGCATCTCCTTATAGAGATGAATTGAATTAATGAATCACTATGAGGAAAGTTCAGTGTCTGCATGCAGAGGGAGGAGACACTGAATGTTTGGGTGCATTTTAGGCAGCCATGACCCAGGAAGGATCTCTAACAGCCATGTAAGGAGTGGCCAGTGAAGTTATCACTAGGCTGTAATGTAAAGACTGCATTTTCTCTGAAAAGACAGTGTTTACAGCAAAAAGCCTGAAGGTAATGATTCTACTAACCAGAACAAAGTCAATAAGCTGTAGTTGTTCTTGTGACTATAGTGTCCCTTTAACTATATTCATTGTCAGCCAGTCCACACATGTTTTGTTCCCATACATCCCTCTTAAGTTTCCATACTTAAGTAAGAGCATGTGAAAAGTAGTTAGGGTTGCCACCTTTCTTGGAAAAACATACTGGCCTTACTAATTTGCATAATTATGTATGTATGGGTGATATCACATGATGTAAATCACAAGGAGTGACATAAGAGAAAATGCTGTAAAATCACCAAAAAACGATTTAGTTTGATTATGCTGTATAGATGGATTCCTCCCAGTGCCCCCATGTGTTGATTACTCCAGGTCTCAGCATTCCTATGTATCAGTGTCTCAGTGCCCCATGTCTCCCAGTGTCCCCTAGTGTCGTGTCCCCAGGTCTCCCAGTGACCCTATGTATCACAGTGTCCCTATGTATCAGTGTCTCAATGCCCCATGTCTCCCTGTGTCCTCCAGTATTCCCATGTGTCTATGTCCCCATGTATGTGTCACTAGGACACTAGGAAGACGGGGAGACCTGGGGACACGGGGAGACCTAGGGACATAGAGACACCAGTGACAGTGGGAAACTAGTGGACACTGGCTCGGACACATGGGGCCACTGGGAAAATAGGGGACACTTGAAGACATGGGGACACAGACACTAGAGACACTGGCTGGGGGACATGGGGACATTGAGACATGGGGGCACTGGGAGACATGGGGACACTGAGACACCAGGGCCACAGACACTAGGGACACTAGCTTGGAGACATGGGGACATTGAGACACTTGAGGCACTGGGAGACATGGAGGCACTAGGATACATGGGGACAGTGAGACACTGGGAGACTAGGGGTCACTGGGAGACTAGGGGCACTGAGACACCAGGGACACTGGCAGGGAACATGGGGACACTGTGTCCCAATGTGTCTGTGTCATAATGTCTCCCAATGTCCCTTAGTGTCTCAGTGTCTGCCATTATGTCTCCCAGTGTATGTCTCCTTGCAGCCTTCCCCCCATCCCTTACTTCCCTGAGCTGTAGGCTGTCTCTGCAGGGTGGGAGTTGCTGTCTGGACTCTCTGTAGCTGCACCCCTGCAGATCAGTGAGTATAGATAGACAGGGACCATTAAACTGGTAAGTGTAATATAAGGCATCTAAGTATAATTATTAAATAAAGGAAAAGTAAACTAACTAAAGTAGTAAACCATTATTGTTAGACTAAAATACTAACACATTGAGATACAGATACAGTCCTGAAAAATAAAGCGTAATGCAGACATGGGCATCCACAGGAATTTTTCCAGTGGGGGGGCATAATTGTAATGACATCCATGCTTGGCCCCTTATTGACAGTGTCATGAAGGGGAGGAGCATAGTCATTATCACATAAAGCCAGGGTGAATAGTGTTTTCACAACTATTACCCCCTTGCAGATGCCCATGAATGCAGATCCTTTTCTCAAGTGGAGCAGGATAAGGGGCTGATGGGGTTAAAGAGTTTGAAACAGGGACAGAATGGGGGGACTGAGAAGGTGAAGGAGGCTGCAGCAAGGGGTAACTGGTGTAGGATAGATGGCTGGAGCAGAGAGTAGCTGCGGCAGTATAGGGGGCTGAAAAGGTCCTTATCCATAAGGGTCTTGGTAGCAACTGCCCAATTGTCCCCAGGGGGAATCTAGGGTGAGGGGGCTCCACTGCTTTTGGGTGCTACAGTTCCCCTACTGCAGATCAGCAAGCAGCAATCTGTGCTCTGCCCAACAACTTAGGTACGCACTTTTTTTACTCCTTTTTGTGAACAGGGAGCCACAGAGCCTGAGAGTGTCAGCTGATGCTCTTAACCTATGAGTGAAGCCTCGGACTCAAATAGAAGTTGATGGATAGAGCTGACGTGTGCCAGGCTATGGGGTAAACCATTCATTAACAGTTTAATAGCAGATGGTAAGCCAGCGCTTTGGACCTACGTGCACCATAACCACTTCTTTATAATTATTACATTTTTGCTCAGAGTATTCCTTTAATCACTCACTGGTATCACTGGTAACAATGAACCAGAGCACAACCACTGGTGTTCCTATCCCGCACTCACTGAGCGCTGGACCACAAGGGAGTGATTACTGTTATCTGCACCTGCCACACTGGACTGCCATGAAGCTTAACCCCAATGGATGGCCCTAAAGCTAAGCAGGAGAGAGGAAAACAGAGCAAACAATGAGAAACAATGTTATTTACTGAACTCAACCTTTTCATAAATTAAATCTGAATAAAAGATTTTCCAGATCAGCTTTTCTGTTTCCCTTTTTCCATTTATAATTAATTCACAAAAATTTAATTTCATTGAATAACCCTGTCAATGTGTAGGACTCTAAGCAGGTGCCTCAGATGGGTTTGTGTGTCAGGACAAGTAGATTGTCATGACAGACAAGTAGATTGGGCTACTGCTTTAGCCTCTAGGTCTAGGACAAGCACATGTTTTTCTTTTTAATTTTCACACCCCTGACTCATGCAATGGGCATATTTGGATTTTGTGTCAATGTGAGTGTGTTTAAATGCTGGGGGTATATTTTTATGACATCTCAGTGTGCGTGTGTGTGCAAATTCTCTTCCTCTCCTCACATATAGTAGCCCCCATTCTCCTCATCTACCCCAATAGATACATTTTAGCCTTTTCTCAGATAGATAGACTCTGATTCTACTCCTTTCCCCACCTCCAACTCTTTCCTTCCCAACATGTGAATAAACTTTCCCCTATACCTTCTTTATGACTTCACAAACTTTGCATACTGTCTGTAATTCTTATCAGGAGTGCACCACACAGTGCCATCCTTTGACTCATGATGTCTCTTCCCGGGAACAAGCCGCACAGAGCTGCCCTGCCCTACAGGCAGCATGCAATACTGCGTTCACTTCTCCAATAGAGGCTCTGCTACTGGAGCCTCTACTGGCTTCATTACAGCACGCAAGATAATGCCCCAGCATGTGCAAGGCACATTGCATTATACTAAAACAGCGGAACTATGAGCTGTGTCAGCCGCCTGACGCCCCTGTTGCCATAGCGCTCTGTGTAGCCGCACAGCACACACACCCTTAAGCAGTGAATATAATGGCTAGAAGAATTGTACTGTAAAGTGCAGATGAAATTAACACGTGTCAGGAGCTCTAGTAAACCAGGAGGTATTTTGAAACGACCTTTTTATTAAATAATGCCATCTATGACATGACCTTTACAGGTACCCATGATGATAAATTTGTTTTAAGTACAGAGGACATTCTTATGGGGCTCCCAAGACTGTCCTATAGATTTTAAATGAAACATATCAGTATTACTAAGTCTTTGTTTCTTAGTCTTCAAGGGTAGTGAAGCCCTTTATATCCTTGACTGCTGACCCATATAATCCCACCGCTGCCCCAATAACACACTGTAGTCTCCCCTAGGTGACCTTGCGTCATACTCCTTCCTTTTTGATTACGCTGTCCAGGGAAAACCACCAGCTGTGACAATAAGAAAACACAAAGAGAAACCACACAACAAACCACAACAACAAAAAACAGAGAGGGAGGGTGGATAATTCAGTCAGGATCTTTAAACAACTCCTACTGACTGGTAAATCCCCATTCCTGCTCTCTTATTTTAACTCCTCCAACATTTGCAACATTGTTGCTCCTTAACTCAAGCACACCATCCTGGGCAGCAGTCATGCTCCCCTTCCCTATTTATCCAGGGGGACACTTGAGACATGCCCTTTGTAGCAGCCCCAGGCGTCAGTGGATTCCTTGATGTTGGTAAAAACAACAGGAACCAAACAGAACACTGCCTGGCAGAGCATTATTTATAATGTATGGTTGCTAGGGAGCAACTAACAACTCACAATTTCTCTCCAGTCACTGAATATGTACACAGAGGAGTAGTTTGTGAATGTGACAGCACCTGACAGCCCTAAATCTATGTCAGCCCAGCCACTTGTAAATCTTATCTACTGGTAAATCCAGTAATGTCTAGTTACAGATATTTCAATACTTATGAATGTATTATTCGGATAGCATATTGATGTTTCCTCTCTTAGATTAATTTAATAGAAATAAAATGATTTGACTTGTCAAGCAAACCTGTTCAAGGTTATAATTACCAGTGATGCAGAGATACTTATACTCCAAAGATAATTCATTCTTAATTCCTAATAAAAACTTTTTTTATTATTAATAATCTCTGTTTATTTAGCAATACAAGCACATTGCATAGTTGCTGTATAACAGGCAGAGAATGAATAAAGGATTTTCTTATATTTTAAAATATTTATGAAACATATTAAAACATAACACCAGGCTAGATATATTAATTGGAGAAGCAGAAATAAAGCATAAAGTACCAAACGAACCAGCAAGCTGTTGGACAAGTTCAGTGTCTCGAGTAAGAGCCATAAAAACAAAATATCGGGCTTATTCTCTAAACTCCAGATTTTGTCTATCTGAAATATGACCACACTAGTAATTCTCATATTTACTAAAGCCACATATGGTCTCACTAAGAGATTGTATTCGGCGTATGGATTAAAATCAGTGTTTTCGCATCTGAATCCTATACAAAGTATAGGATTCAGAGACTTCACAAAGCACTGGTATTAATCAAATTCGGGACAGAATGCAGTTACTTTCATGCAAGCGAACGATAATTTTATTTGCTATTTGCCCACAGTGGTAACTAACTTGCTTGCCAACCAGCTGTCTTGGCGTCATACTTGATTCTGCCCTCACCTTTGAGCCTCATATCCAATATGTTGCCAAATCCTGTAGATTCCATCTTATAAACATAGCCCGCATCTGCCCCTTTCTTACGCAAGATGCTACCAAGGAGCATGTCCATGTTCTAGTAATTTTCTGCATGGATTATTGTAACCCTCTCCTAATTCTCAAAAAGCCGTATTGCCCCGCTACAGTCCTTAGTGAATGCTGGCACCAGACTGATTTTCCTCTCTAGTCAGTCCTCTCACACCTAAACCCTCTGTCAGTCCTTACATTGGCTTCCTGTATCTTATAGGAATTAATTCGAAGTGCTAAACCACAGATCCATAGGAATGCCCCTTCTCGGTCTCTCTGCTTTGCCCGTGACCTTCTCCTGTCCGCTGCTCGCACCTGTACGGCCAACTCAGGCTTGCAGGACTTCTCGCGGATGACACCCATCCTATGGAATAGCCTGCCTACAGACTCTCCCCTAGTCTTCAATCGTTTAAGAAGTGCCTTAAAATCCATCTCTTTAGGAGATAGAGAGTAACCTCTATCTCACATGCCTGTCTCTTGCTCTCTCCTAAAGGGCAGCATTTTACTCTCTCCTCCAGCCCTGCTTCACTGCCACCTTATTTGATTGCTATTTCCTGTCCTAATGTGTTTTATGCCCCACCCCCTACAGACTGTAATCTCGTTTGAGCAGGGTCCTCTTCAACCTATCGTTCCTGTAAATTCTCTTGTAATTTTACAACATGACAGGAGGCTTCGTATTTTGCATAATCTCTCTTTACTAGCTCCACACAGCAGCAAAGAAACATATAGAAAAAAGAACCAATCACAAGAGCGTAGGATGTACATAAGCCATAGTAACCTCATCATTTCCTCTTTCTTTGCTGCTCCACCAAGCAGACAGGTCAGAGTATTACTCTTCTCCATCACTTTATGTTTATATTGCCTCTTTTGAGGTTGTTTTGTGTTGTTTCTGTATTATTTTTTTATATATTTTGTTGTGTTTTTGCAGTGCTTCTGAATTATGTGCAGCTGTGTTTTTTCCATGTTATTTATTGTGTTTCTACCTTATTTTTGGTTTCTGCCCTCTTCCCTTCTTGCTCTCACTTCTCTGGGGCTTGAGAGGCTTTTGGATCTTACTGGGGTTACATTTTAATGTTGAATTAGGCCATTTATATAAGCTGCTTATAGGGATTTCACCCATAACCTTGTATTAACTATTAGAGCATGGATTAGTGCTCTCTGTCGGGACTGTGGCCTGCACTCAAGGGATGAGCCCCCTACTATATTTTTACTGCACTGTGTTGCTGAATGGAGAAATGCTGTTACAGTCTCTGTTAACTGCTGGACAGGATTTCCAGGACATACGGCTTAAAGGACAGATGGTTGGCGGATCTGGGCGCCAAATCATTGGGACCCCAGGCACAAGGCACACTTTTCCCGAGGGAACTTATAGCACACATTTATGGTGTCGCGGCCCTCATCAAGACCCACACCTCCAGGAGGAAGTTGTTATGTGGTAATCCCGAAGGGGTGTTCTTCAGGACCGGCTGACAGTGGGGCTTTGTCACCAACCACTTCGTGGCATCTGACCACATAACCCGCTATCGCTAACTCTATTCTACTCTACCCACAGGAGTTTCCATTGTATCTAGACGGAAAGCATTCAAACCTAATAAGGAACCTTTCGCATCGACAACATAGGTCGCAGAGGTCTCCTCTATCGTCGAGGAATTTTCACACGGTCCTTCACTGCAACACCGTGACCCTTCATACACTCACCCAGATCGTGGGATACTGCCTTCCTCCATCTGGGCCATATTCCCAGACTCGCTACGTTACCAGGACAGGCAGTGAGGCCTGGTCAGGTTCACTCAGACAAGCCCCTACGATCAACCGGACTTCGCTCGGTCGTCAGATGCCAGCTTGTGGGGCAAGGGGCTGCAAGGACAATCTGCGAGACCACACCCACAGAAACAGGTTTACAATTCAGGAATTCTCCCTGCACATTGCAGACCTAGCATTCTTTTTGCAGTACTTCACTATCCACTGCCTGGTAAAGGAGTACCCCCGTCTTCTATCAGACATCATGAAAGGCATCTTCAATTCCTGCCTTCCTCGCAGAACCCCGAGGTCGGTCTATCTCCCGGGGGAGACACATATCAGAGGGACAGCCAGAATGCGGTGTTCTTCAATTGGCACATCACACTCCGGCCACATGGGCCTCCCCGGGGGATGTATGCTTTTTCCTCCCTGACCATGGTTGACTCTGGTGCCCAGGACTCTTGCTGGGGTTCTTGGCAGGTCGGCGAACTATCGCAGGCTGCTAGGGACCTCTTAGGTGTCTCTTGGGCCCCAGAGACGTAACGATGCTACCGCTGGACATTCCCGGTCTGATTGATGTTTGGAACTGAACCTTGATCCATTATGGGGTGGTTTGGACAGCTCTATGCCTGTGTCCCGGTCCAGGGACTCCCGATGGACAAGAATCCTAAAATGTATGTACCAGTTACCCAGTGACATCCACCTCCGGCTCATGGGACGTGGAGGTCATTCTCCGTTTATTCTAATGAACTGGGACACCTACTGATGGACTTTTATGCTTGGACCAGTGGCTATCCGCCAGGTACCGGATGATCGGGCGTTCGACTGGGAGGTTTCTCCCATAGACCCGACGTGCTAGGTATCCCTTCGCACCTTCGGCTTCTTCATTCATTTTCTATTTCTTTCTCAGTGTTAAAAATTATGCTAGCTTTAGTGTACTAATAATCGTAATTTTAGTAATGACAGGAGGCGAGTATTTTCCCTCCCTGCTTCACTACCCACCCTTTCTGTTCATTTTCTTTGTATGTATCATGGGTCTAAGGTAGGTTTGGCTCTCAATGTTTTGTGCTTACATTGAAGATTGTATTTCCATTAATCTGGAATTATCATTGGAGTTTTACATTATAGTTATTCAGTTATCAGATTGTAGTTTACAATATTTTTCTATGGGATGATGTATATGGTACGTTACTTGGATCTACATGTTCATGACTTTGTGTCTAAACCTGTCACTCATTCTCTTTTCAGTCTGATTGGTCTCTGAAGACATTTAGTTGTTTGTTTGAAACTCTCTGGAATTTTGATCCTTTGGATTTAATTCATCCCTGAACACATTTTCATTGTTTGTATAGCATTCACAGGGAAGTTTTCTCCTTCGGATGTTGGACTTAAGAGTTATTGTATTGCTTGTTATATGTTTACTTCTGCTTGATCTCGCTTTCTGAAAGAGGAAGTGATAAGGTCACATTGCCTTATGTACATCCTACTCTCTTGTGATTGGTTCTTTTTTCTATATGTTTCTTAGCTGCTGTGTGGAACTAGTAAAGAGAGATTATGCAAAATACTCGCCTCCTGTCATTACTGAAATTAAGATTATTAGTACACTAAAGCTAGCATAATCTTCAATTGTCCTATTTATAGTTAACTACCCCCTCTCATAAAGCACTACAAAATCTGTTGGCGCTATATATAGCAATAATAATAATAATAATAACCAATCAGAGCACTCTTACTGATATTGCATATTGTGGGAAATTTTCTAATGCAATGTATTAGCTGACATAATGCCTTAAAGGGCTTTAAAGGGCTTTCATCGCATGAGATCTCACTCTGCGGGGGTACTAAGATGAATTTTTGGTGTCATTTTTTTTTTTCATAATTTTATTTTTAGTTGTTAGTTATATTGGCCCCCTCACTATTATTAGATTGAGTGGTTAGGTAGTAATAGTTGTTTTTATTGGATAGTG